AAAAAAAAAAAAAAGAAAGTCCCACTTTGAAACCACATTTCGAATTTGCACGCTAAATGGAACCCAGACCAGAGCAACTCACGTTACAAATCCTGATTTATTTGCCAGTTAATGTTAAACATCTTCACGGATGAAGAAAATGATCATTGATGCTAGTCAAAAATAGAAGTTTGATTATGCGTTTGCAATGAGTTCTGAGGATCAAGAAATGCAAAAGTGGCCTGTGTCGATGGTGAGAGCGACATTAACGACGATAACACTGACTGAGCACCTCCTCCTCCACCTGCAGATGACTCATCGTCTTTGACACGTCGACGAAAACGTTGCTGTATGGTATCTTTACGCATGTGAACGGGTCTAGCTGTCTAAAAAATGAAACCTTATAATAATTAAAGCACGACCGCGTTGAAAAGTCCAGATTATCTGACTACAGCATGAAAGAAAAAATATTTCTGAAAACTAACCCTATGAAGACGGTAATACAATCCGCAAGCATTGCAAACTAATTTCCCTGACTGATCTCTTCGCCAAGCGGTAGTTTTCGTGGCCATACAATTCGTACAACGCGATATCGATGCCCCACCATTACTTTCCTCATCTTCCTAAATGATTATGAGGTAAAAATATGCAAAGATAACTTTAGAACTAACTGTACGGAATGCAAAAAGAAAAAAAACGAAAAGATCTAACTTTTCTTTCGCCCATCCAAGCTTCACACTGTGAGGAATTAGCAACCAGAGAGTCATTATTTGTATCTTCAGTACTAGTCGGAGTTTCCGATGCAGGAGGCTGCTGCAAACCATTCTGCTGCTGTTGCTGTTGACATAACATTGACAAAAGATTCTGATGGGCAACAGCACTGGCATTCCCATTAATCAAATTAGCAGCCAAAGACATGCAGTCAAAAAGACTCGAAGAAATCCCAAGATTTTCAGCATTAGCTGTAGCAGCTTCTGCGGAAATAACGTTAGCCTTTGAAGAACTGTGGTCCTAAAACAGAAAAACACCATCAAAGACGGCGCTGACGTCACTACTTACCACATTTTTTAGCATAAATTATACCATAACGAATGACGTTAGAAAAACCAAACGACAATGATGGTTTTACTTGACTTGCAAAACTAACCAGATCCAACTTATGTACTGCTCCCCGTTTCGGTTTCCTTTTTCTGCTTCCTGCGATTACAAAACTGGCTGCATCACCAGAAGCAGTATCGCTACAATACAATTTTCATCAAATATTTATGAACCAAAACTATGATTTCAAAAATACCTTCAGTATTCATAAAAATTGTAAAGAACTAAAAAAAGTACCTTTCAAGATGATTTGAGGAATCATTATTCTCTGGAAGCGATGGGGAAAGTACATCTTTTTCTTCCGTACCACTTTCTGATACCTAAAACTTGATGTAATGAAGTGTAATTTTTTCCTGTAAATAGTTTAACAAGAATACTGCATCGCTTCAATTACTGCAAGATCTAAAAAAAAAAAAAAGTACAAATAAAAAATGATAGTTCCTTAGCAAAGTGCTTGGAAATGAAATAATATGGTACCGAGTACTACTTGCCCATTTTTTCAATTAATTAACAATAAAAATAAATATTAAAAAACTAGCCTCGTCTTTTATTTCAACTGATCTCGCCGGAGTATCTCTTTCTTCGGCATTATTTGCTGTAACTGCCGCATCTTTGGGCATCCGTTCAGCAAAAAGAGATTCTACGCGTAACAATAAATGATCCAGTTTACTGGCCAGCTGAGCAACGCTCATCTTAAAAAAAAAAAAAAAAAA